TGATATCAAGAAATCAATTGTTACTAGTTGAAATGTCTATTCTTGATATCAACAATTGAATTGCTAGTAACAATGTTCACTTTTGATATCAATAATTACATTTTCACTAGTGACAATGTTAACTTCTGATATCATGAATGTGATTGTTACTAGTAAGAAAGCCATTTTAGATATCTGAAATAATATTGATATCAGAAATACAATTTCAGATTTCAAAAATATTTTTTTTTTACTAGTAGCAATTCAATTGTTGATAACAAGAATAGACATTTCAACCAGCGGCAATTGAATTATTGATATCAGGAATTCACATTTTTACTAGTAACAATGCAATTATTGATATCAAAAATTATTTTTCTACTAGTAAGAAATCAATTCTTGATATCAACAATTGATTTTGAATGGCAGCCTATGGGAACATTTCACTAGTGAAAATACAATTGCAGATATCAGCAATTAAATTATTGATTACAACAATTCAATTTTTGAAATCAAGAATTCAATTGCTAATATCAAGAATTCAATTGTTGATATCAGTAATGTAATTGTCGAACAAAATGGATGAAAAATGTATTTTTAGTATGAAACAAATTATCTGCGAAATCAATTACAAGTCAACTGAGCTGCGGATATTCTGTGCGGACACTCTTGCTTTTGTATGTACCTGAGTGTATTCTATTGAAATAAATGTAACTTTGATTTTGATTCTGGATCAACTTCATTGGAAACTAAGATGTCACATTAATAATCTCTTTTGGCATTAGTACAATCTAAATGCAAAATAAAATTGTAACAAAACCAGCATATATATATATATATATATATATATATATATTTATATATATTTATATATGTGTGTGTGTGTGTGTGTGAGGTTGTTATACATGACGCCACGTGGAGACCCTGAAATGAATATAAACATAGCTATTCATCACCACATCCAAAAACTGAATTTGTCTAAATGTGATACTGGTATTTCCACAACCCATGCATTTGACTTATGGGAATGAAAGGACATTTTTGAGGTCGAGCTCATTTCAAAAGGCCAGAAGTCTTTCTTCTCCTCCCCCCTGTAGAGATCATGGAATGATTGTAAATGACAAGCCTGTTGGGATGTACATTATTAATTGCCCCCCACTGACTCACCACGCGCTCTGTCTCCTTCCTTACACACGGCTGTTCATTTGCATCACCCACTATGGACACCCAGAACACATTCATCCATTTGTGACTAGAGGTGTTGGTCTTTCTAACCTGAAGTATCCATGACGGTTTTGACAAGCGGCCATCTGTCGAAATGTGTGTGTGTGTGTGGTTGTGTGGAATTGGGAGGAGACTTGTGAAATGTTTCAGGCTAACTTAAGCACTCCTACACTTTCAGCCTGATAATTACATAATTACATATACCAACGTGTAATTATATGGCGGAGCATTAAAGTGGATGTGGTTGCGAAGGCCGGCATTGCGACACATGGCTGAAAATGTGTGTGTGTGGACTAGACAGAATGTTGTTATTGTTCATTTCAGAGCCACATAAATAAATCCATCCCAGAGGTGGGCTAATCCCACGCCACGTTACTCCCCGTCTCGAGACTGGGCTAGTCGACCCACACAGAGAAAGGGTGACTGGGTTAATCCACACATCGCTTCCGATAACATCCCATTTAATATCGCTTTCCGGCTTCTACATGCTTTCTTGAACAACCAATAACTGGACAAAACTTGGCGTCACAGAGCCAGAGATTGCCTTTTGAAAATAACAGAGTGCACCAGCTGAACATGTTATGCATATTACACGAAATAGACAAAGAGCATGGAAGATGTGCGAGAGATAAATAGTGAGTGTGTTATGTTCAATAACATTGTGCATGCAAGAAACCCCATAACAGCCCTTCAGAGGGTTTAGATAAGAGCGCATGGGGAAAGATGTATTAGGGAAAAGCTGCCACGGAGCATCATTACTTTATAATCCCACACTGGGAGAAAGAGGGACAGCTGGGCTAGAGCCTTTTAAGCAAGTTTTATTTTTCATTTGTCCTACTTTATCTTAATCCAGGCTCAGGGAACGTGGCAGTTTGCTACCCCAGACAGACTGCCACATTCAATGCTTTGAAATAGATACAGCTTTTCTCTTGCATAAAAGCTTTAACACAAAGCTGCTATTTTAAAAGAATACGTGAATGGATTCGTATTCAAGCCGAGAGCTAAATATCTACCTCTGCCAAAAAAAAGAATAACAGGCACCACTCATTCTGCCTTTATGACAAGCGTCATATTAAGCATTGGTCGTTTGGCATACATATGTTACATGGATAATACTATATCCCCCAATATACTACAGTGTAGCGAGGGATGGATTAATATATTAGTGTAAGACCCAGATTTAACCTTCTCTCACTGGTGCATCCTTTAATACTACAGAACACTGGATGTTCACAAAATGCAGATCTTTTGTTTGTCAAAGCACCTTGAAACTCATGAACAACAGAAGTGTTTCATTTAGAGAGCGATTTATACTTCCTATGGCTGTTTAAACCTTGAAGAATAAAGTAGCTTTTTACATATTCTTGGGGAAAAACGCACTGCTGTCAATGACTAACCCTTGAAAATACGTAATGTCAGAGGTATGTACTGAATTTGAAGAATTTAAATCATCTCGACTCTGCATGCATGGACATTTGACCTTGTCCGTCATTAACAAATATGATTAGTCTCAGTGCTTGCATAGGAAAAGAAAAAGTGCCTGGCACTGGCAGTAACATGGAAGTAACAAATGAACATGAAAGTTAGGATTAGTTAGTTGTGTTCTGAGTTTGTCACACCACAAAAAAAAAATGTTTTATTAGCCACCCAGCCAAGTTTTAATGATAAAAAAGCTGACAAGTACATAAAATAAGCTTTCAAAAGTCGAAAAGAAATTAAGGTTTCCAGGATTTTCTCCATAATGGACTTCATTGGGAACCAAATGGTTCAAGGTCCAAATGAGAGCTTCAGTGCAGCTTCAAAGGGCTTTAAACGACACCAGACGATGAATAAGGGTCTTATCAAGCGAAACGATCAGTCATTTCAAAAATAAATAAAAAGTTTAAGTTTTATAAGCACAAATGGCCGCCTTGCTCTGTTCTGTGACGAGCGTTTGTGACTCTCCTGTTCGAACTCGTTCATCAAAATGAACTAATCTTTTTTCGAGTCATGACTCGAAAGGTCCTAGATAAGACCCTTATTCATCGTCTGGTGTCGTTTAAAGCCCTTTGAAGCTGCACTGAAACTCTCATTTGGACCTTGAACCGTTTGGTTCCCATTGAAGTCCATTATATGGAGAAAATCCTGGAATGTTTTTATCAAAAACCTTAATTTCTTTTCGACTGAAGAAAAAAAACGCGGACATCTTGGATGACATGGGGGTGAGTAAATTATCAGCAAAAGTTTTTTTTATAAGTGAACTACTCCTTTAATGTGGTTCCAAAACTCTCACAAATGCTGTTCACGACTCTACTAGAACAGTTGATTGTATCACAGGTGCCTAATACTGAAAACACGATTGACTCGACAACAAAAAAGCACAAAGTGAGCATTCCATAAACCAACAACTGTCTATGTTTATGAGTACCATTAGATGAAACATCTAACAGATGGACAAGGCCGCATTAGACTTGTCAAAGCAAATATTGCTCACTTATCACAAACAGGCTGCTCTCATGTATACGATCATTTTTTTCCACCTCAATCCGCTTGCGGTCTCAAAGATGTGTGAAGGATCGCTCACTCTCGCCCCAGCCTTCACCTGTTGTACCCCTCAGGATCCTCCGTCTTCATAAACCACCCGCTCTTTCCTCATGCCGCGGTCGTGCTGGCAACCGTCCAGCTCTAATTAGCACATTAATCACTGCTGAGGAGAAGATACGACCGGCGGTGAGCTGGGTCTCCCGGTGTATGACCCCAGTCTCCTCTTCCACAAGGGCGAACACTTAATTCATGAGTATTGTGCAGCACAAGCTAATATCCAGCCTGATTTGAGGCTCTGCGTAGATCTATATGGACTCCAGAGAGCTAGGAGTCCCTTCTCTTTCTGGCTTTAAACGTACATAATAAATCATATTGTAAGTCTTGCTTAGGCGACATATTTTCTATGCGGTAATTATGACTTGGAATTAAAGTCAATGAAGGCAGCATTATTCAGCGAATCTTGTGTGTGGAAAAAAAAAATCCACATTCTGCATTCAGTTTTATTTCTGAATGAAAAGTGAGATTTAATGAGATTATTAGGTGGGCAAATATACAAACAGCTATTTGGGAGTGCGAGTATGCAGACTTCAGGAGAGGATCTACCACAGAGTGCATGATTGCAAAGCATTTTCACCCAGCATGCTCTGCTACTCAGTGTCCTCTGGGACAGTAAGCAAAAGTCTGTAATGGCTCTACAGGCTTGGCTCTCCCTCAGCAGTTAAAGATGTCTATTTTAAGATCTCGAATGGAGAAACAATTTAATAATATCTTTCGGCAAGTCGGTAGATGTCAAAATGGACTTGACATGACATTGACCCATAAGATCAGCCTCACCTCCATCTCCAAGCGGCACACAAAATCTGACTCATACGAGAAATGTAATTGTATGCTGTAAAGGACACAATTTGTATATGAGGAAATTAGATCATGTGGAAAACAGGCACCAGAAAAATTCATGGCTTGTTTTGTTAACGAGCAAACATCATTGCACTCCCATTCTAATCAATAAACTTTCTAATCCAGTTTCTTCTGGCGGGGAAGATGGATATGGTGCCTTTCTGGAGCCAAAGAGCTGGATTACGACAGAGCCAAAGTCCCAAACAGCAGGAGGACACACTGTCACAGCAGGCAAAAACTCGACAGCAGCCTGCCACAAAGAACTTAACAAACAAGACCTCAGGACATGTCTGAGAGGAATAGATTACTTCTATTTCAGCAGAGATATGCTCCATCTAGAAACATAGAGAAGGTGGAATTTATCAGAAAATACTTACTGGCTACTTCAAGCGAGGCATTTCGGCTAACAGCCTCTCCTAGGTAATTGCGGGCGACGCAAGTGTAAACACCCTCGTCGGGTTTGCTGCGGCGTCCGTGAACGATGCGCAAGAAAAAAAGGGAGCCACTTGGCAACAGCATGCGGTGGGAGCGAGGGTCGTCCTTATCAGTTTCAACGTGCTCGCCGTCTTTATACCACTCCACCGTGGGCATGGGCCGACCCTCTGCCTTGCAGTTCAGGGTGGCTGGCTCACCCTTTGACACGATCAGATCTGAGGGATTCTCCACTATCCTGGGAGAAGCATCCTCCAAACGTGGACGGGACCCTGCGAGAAATAAACAGTGGCAGTTAAAAGCATATATCTGACATACTGGAGGAATGTTTAAGCAGTTTTAGTGTAAATTAATTAACCAAACCAGGCCGTTAAATCTAAATTCTTGTTAAAAATAAATTTGCTAACGGGGTTTAGCATATCATCCTCACTAAGAGAAGCCAGGTTATCCCGGTATATTTTTCTGTTGATACAAGTGATCATGTACATTTAGCAATATTGCTGGAGAATTATGTATATGATGTGTATTATAATGAACAGTAGTACATTAATAGTAGCTTTTTTACAAATTGTTCAAGGCATTTCTAAGGATGCTTGTTAGAAGCTGTCTCTGTGATGGCGAACAGGAACATGGTTTGTGTAAAATTAGCAACACATTGTTAGCTGTTTGATGTTATGAGTCTGACTTTGAAGAGAGCGATACATAAAACGCATTACTATTCGCCTGTATAGGTGAGGGTAGGCAGGACTCATTTGCATATTCATGTAACGCATATACTTAATGAAGCAAGGTTGTAGAGATACATTTAAAGCCAATTTAAGGTAATTTAAATCATTTATTTCACAGGAAAAAAATATATTTAAACATGCCATTTTGGTGATCAAGATGAGTTTAAAGGGACAAAATTATTGACATACATTATTTATATGGACATTAAAGGTCCCGTTCTTCGTGATCCCATGTTTCAAACTTTAGTTAGTGTGTAATGTTGTTGTTAGAGTATAAATAATATCTGTAAAATTATAGAGCTCAAAGTTCAATGACAAGCGAGATACAGTATTTGCCGTGTCTGATATATCACCCACTACTCACTATATAGTGGACTATATAGTGAGCTCGCCATTTTGTAGTGCTGTCCGAACGTATAGTGATGATTATTATACCCTATATAGTCCACTCAATGTATCCCAGAATGCATTTTGAAAAGTAGTGTACAACCGATGGTCACTAACCCAAGCCCTAAATACCATCATGCATTGTGCTGATCGTAAAAATAAGTTATAATCATGTGTGGAGTAGCGCATTATAACAGAAACAGCCAGAAATGACTTTTAGTTTTGAAATTTTGGAGAAATAAGCTCAATATAATGTAATGTATTTATTTAAAAAAATCTATTTAGCCCAGAGCCGGCTCGACACCAGCTGACAGATGATGTAATCAACGGCGCCGAGAGACGATCGAGTAGCGTCCGAAAGTGGTGTTTCTATTATGCTGGTGAGCTCACTATATAGTGTTCTACTCCCTACCCCATATACAGTATAGGGGGTAGGGAGTAAGGGTTTGAGTGATTTCGAGATAAGGGTTCGAGATTTCGGACACAGCAATTTTATTTAACAGAAGTAGCCTACATCGAACGTTCGGACTACATCCCTCTACTTCCTTCTTTAATGACGTCAGTAGTAGAACAGTTTCTTGTCTAACATCCGCCCACAAGAATGCTCCCTCAACTCCCTCAACTTGCACACTTCTTATAACTTACTGTGTTTACTCAGCTCTTATGGTGATTTTCTGAAGTAAAACTGACACTTCATCTTTGTGATGTACAATAAACTTTATTAAACTCATCAGTATATGTTTGATCATCATTCGGACCTGGTCCGAAACAGGTTAGGCTATTAATAAAAATGGATACATACAAGCAGATGACAAATACGTTATAATAACCGTAATTAAACAACTAAACTATACCTGTTCCATCTCTATACAGCACTCGGACTCTGTAGGCATTACTGTCCGACTCGAAATGAACACCCTTACTGAGATTTTCTGATATTATCATCATTGCGTGAGATGAAATTGTCCTGAGAGACTGAGCGCGAGCTCATGAAGCTCCGCCCCCTGTGCCGGCAGCAGCAGCTTATTTGCATTTAAAGGGCACACACACTAAAACAGTGCGTTTTCTGAGCCCCCAAATATTACAATTTAAACATGCTGTAAAAAATGATCTGTTGGGTATTTTGAGCTGAAACTTCACATACACATTCTGGGGACATCAGAGACTTATTTTACATCTTGTGAAAAGGAGCATAATACGGGACCGTTAACCTTCAATACTTGAGTTTATTGCCATAATCAGCATTGGCAAGCATAGGACCCTTTCACACAGAGCGTTAGGGGTGTGTAGTAGTGATGACGGCTGAGATCATTCTCCAGCTCAGTGAAAAGGCACGCGATCCGCTAGATTTTGATCGAATCAGAAAAACAAAAACAAAGCAAGAGCGTAGTTTCTCAAGAGATGTCACATGTCTTTAAGGGATGTGTGTGAACCCACGCACAGATTCCAGAAAATCACTGGCCGTGTTAATGAACCAAAATCAAACATTATCACACATTATCAGTGTATGTGAATTAATAAAACAGCTAAATGCATGTATGTTAAATAAATTTACAACATCTGATGCAGCTTTTAGTTTTCGTAGAGTCCTACAAACTAACCAGAGCTGAAACTTGTTAACAGGTGTGTGGAACTTTTTCAAAAAATGTTAACATTTATTTTGTGAAAAAAAGAAGAAAAAAACCCTTTCACAACAGAGTACCAGGGTGTACCATTCAACCACACAAATAGTCTTCACCAGCATCAGTGAATGGATGGAACCAGAGGAGAGAGACTTCTAATGGCCAGTGGGAAAGGGAGCTGGGTTTACCTCTCAAAGGCTGATGACTCAACACCTATTAAGCTTTCAGCCCAGAGAGCCAGATGAAATCTGTGCGAAGTTAAAAGAAGCTGACATTAAGGCTGAGTCTAGCATGGCTGTGGCTATTGAAAAAGGCTCCAAACCTCACCGCCCATTAGTGCCAAATTCTGCTCCAGCCGGGGCTACAGAACTAACAGTGAGGGTTTCTTATTTATGTGTGAGGGCTTTTAAGAGGTGGAATACTTGCAGTGCAATGCACAGCAGTGGTCATGAGTTGGGTTTTTCTTGACATTAAAGGGGTGGAAATTCTCAGGAATAAAATAATATCATCTATGCAATATTTTGTCTGAAAATACTCAAGTGGAAGAAAACAGTTCTTAGACAGCATAATGTGTTTACTCTTGGTGAAGTTAAATCCAATAAGTTACTAATGACTTTCATAAAAAGTCAGTCATGAACACCTAAATAGTTCATCAGCCTCCTGCTGCACATTACACTCATAAGTATGTTTCCATCCGTTTACAACACTTGAGATTATAACTCCCCACTACTCTGAGGCATCATCAGTTTTATAGTTATGGGAAGCTAATTGGTCCTTGTGAGAGAATGAAAGGAACGAATAAAAGCCGGTGCTTTTCACACATGAAAAGCCATGCTGATTTGAAAGAATAATTATCTGTCAGTGATTTCACGACATACAGTCGCTGCTTCCTTTGGAGAGCGTGAATGAGAGGTATAAGACCACATTAACAGGTTCATATCTTACAGGAAAGGTTACATTTGGAGAAGATTGTGCCGTGCAGTCACACATTGAGGTATAAAATACTTACACACGCAAATCACATGGGAAATTTCTGAGAGATTATTCTCATAGCATCTCTCAGTGATTTCCCGACTGGTGGGGAAAAAAAAGGATTTATAAAGGGTTTTCGGATATATTTTATTAGCTGCAAATTTGCCTCACATTCTTGAACCTAAAAACATAGAAACTTTGACATGTCAGAACAGGAGAGAAGAAATCTAATATGTTGGTAATTGAATAATCAGTAATGAATAAAGTCTTTTTTAGGAGAGCAGAAACTATACAACACAGTTGTATGCAGCCACACGATTCAGAATTGAGGTAAAAAAAATCAGAATTAAGTAGTTCACTTTAAAAAAAAAAAAAAAACTTTTGCTGATAATTTACTCACCCCCATGTCATCCAAGATGTCCATGTCTTTCTTTCTTCAGTCGAAAAGAAATTAAGGTTTTTGATGAAAACATTCCAGGATTTTCTCCATATAATGGATGTCAATGGGAACCAAACGGTTCAAGGTCCAAATGAGAGTTTCAGTGCAGCTTCAAAGGGCTTTAAACAACACCAGATGATGAATAAGGGTCTTATCAAACTGATCGCTCATTTAAAAAATAAATAAAAAAGTTTAAGTTTTATAAGCACAAATGCTCGCCTTGCTCTGTTCTGTGATTCAAACTCGTTCATCAAAATGAACTAATCTTTTTTCGAGTCATGACTCGAAGGGTCCTATAAGACCCTTATTCATCGTCTGGGGTCGTTTAAAGCCCTTTGAAGCTGCACTTAAACTCTCATTTGGACCTTGAACCGTTTGGTTCCCATTGAAGTCCATTATATGGAAAAAATCCTGGAATGTTTTCATCATTCAACCTTAATTTCTTTTTGACTGAAGAAAGAAAGACGTGGACATCTTGGATGGGCAAAAGTTTTTTTTAAAAAAGTGAACTACTCCTTTAATGCCTGAAAATGTATCTACAAAGAACAATCAATAGACAGACAGACACACAGACAGATAAAAATGTCACAAAAACATTTGCTTTTCTGAACAACTGTCTTCCTTTGGAATACTGTTGACACAAGTTATATTTAGCGGATGGCTACAAGCTATGGCATTATGTAAAGCATTACAGTAATTAATATTTACAAATATTAGACATGCATGCTTCGCCCTCTTTCTCCTTAGGGCTTAAATGTACCATCACTAATGCTAATGTGTTATGAAAATCGGCGCCCAGTCGATTTTTTCAAAACTGTTCGCCTCAAACATATTCAAATAATATGAGCATTAACCTGGCTCCCTGGGATCAGTAATGATCCAATGCTTTTCTCAACAGACATGTGTGCGTACTGGTGTACACTGATCAAAGAACAAAACAAAACATTCGTTCATGAAAGAGATCTGATGGTATATGAATCCTAGACCCATTATTATGCCAGACACATCGCTTTTCCCAGCATAGCAAAAACTGTTCTTTATCGACTAACTGTGACAACTTACATCTCTGCCTGGTGAGCCATCTCAGGCTATTTGTCATAATTTCAGAAACGCCATTATCTCCGTCAACCCCATTCAACCTCTTGTAGTTGGTGGCATTTGCCCTAACCTGACAGCAACTGCTAAGTAACGCAAACTGAACAGCTTTTGTTTTATCAGTGCTAAGCTTCAGATCTCTTACAATAATAAAATGACAGTTGCGGGAGATTTTGCAGTCTGCAGTTTTGTGATGAACAAACACAAACACACAAACATCCCAATGCCTGCTTACTTAAGGAATGAGCACATTTAGTTAAATCTGGAACAATTATTTCCTGAGTGAAAACCAATAAGCAGAATGAATCATTGGTCTATAGAGATATTATATGATGTTGTTACTGTAAATGGTGTCAACATGTCTTAAAATAATCATTGGATTAAAAGAGCTGCAGTTAATCCAAGATATACTATAAGGACAATACATTCGGATTATTTAAAAAATAATAATTTCATTAACTGAAGGTCAGATTTAGATCTAGATTCTAGATTTAGATTTAGATCTAGGTCTAGATTAAGGACAAAACAATTTGTGAATTCATCCGACTAACAGCTCTGCCTGTGTGGTACACAGATGTCTCTTAGCAACCAGGCTATGTCGCTATTATCTGGTATTATCTATCATCTTTCATTGTATGTTTTAACTCAGAACTTTCTCCAAGTAAACAATGCTTTTCATATTCACAGCTGACAGTCAAATAAATAAACACGCTGCATATTAATACAAGCGTTGCTCTATTTTGAGCGATCTTTCAGCTCGAGCACCCCCACAATGTGGAGACAGATGCATAACTCATAAATTCTATTTCTAGAGCTTGCAGTGTATAAAGCAGCCGCTTTCTCCTTAATGCAAAAGGCCATTAAGCTGGCCTCAGCGGGGGGGCACATCATGCCGCCCTGCAGACTGATGATACAGCAGTGGCATCCCTGCCAAACATATTCGGTCAAGTCTCTTACAGGTCATTTCACTGCAATCAAAGACGGTAAACATACTCCAGGCTATAGGAGATCATGGAAACAGCTCTTGTATAAATATTTACTCATATAGTAGTAGTGTAACAGATGGTGTCATGTATTAAGACACGTCCCCTGTGATACTGCCATAATAGATGAAAAATATAAACACCATCTCTAATAACTAGAAACGCCTTTCTTTACACAATTTGTATTTGCACTGCTATACTTGTTTTGTATCATTAGACAAATGAAGTAATCAAACACAGTAGTCTTTCTTGTAAAACACTTTAAGTGCCTGAACATGAATATTTTATAACACAGCTGTTTTATGTTAAATCCAGAGTGATTATTATCTTTTTAATGTTTTTAATGGGAACTCTCTCTTATTATAGTCTCACATTTCACTATAAAAACCATTACGTCAAAAAAAAAAAACCCTTTTTTAATTTAACTTGTCAGAAAAACATGTTGATACGATTTTTTGTTTCAACTTAATTTCCTTCATTAGAGCTCACAATTTAAGTGTATTAAAAAATGTGTGCAATGAACTAATATTAATGAATTTATACATGTACATTTTATACAATGTGCAGTCAGTTGACACCGGTTACGGAACAAGATTTGACCTAATGTAACTCAACATTGGTAGTAAATGGAAGATGTTCTAGTTCAAAATAAATAAATTTTTGTGGATTTGTTTTAATATATGTTCCATTTTTGTCGCTTCAGCGGTATTAAAAAAGTTAAATATCCAACAATTATATTCACCAATAACTGATCTGCATGCATTGACACCATTGTATGAAAACTGAACTGAGCTGGACAATGACATCACTATTTTCTCCAGAGGGCTGTAGGCCTAGATAAAGGAACTAATTAATAAGTAATGATTTTTACAAAGGAAATGAATCAACACTGAACTTAAGCATGGTCAACGGCACTATTTTCTTCTAGAGGTGCTGTACAGCCAAACAAACTTTGCTGCATTATTGTCTTGGTAGGCTATCACTGTTAATCTGATTTGAAACAATCAGCATTGTAAAAAGCGCTAGGCTATATTTAAAGATGACTTAATGATCATATAGGCTACTAACATGAAAGTCTGACACTTAAACTAACAGATTAAACTTACTCTGCAGTATTGGACAAATAATCAGATCAATAAACTAGTGTTTTAACTCACCTGAAGAGCTGTAGATGTTAGAGAGCATCAGTAACAGAGTTCCTATGACAACCAAAGCCATTTGTCCGGCTTCCAAGACTTGCACTGTTATCTACGGCATTAGTACAGTTTCTAAAGAAAAAGATATTCTCATTGGAACATGCCAAGCGAAACCATTTTAAACTCGTAAAAAAAAAAACAAGAGCGGAGAAAAGCACTTCAGCTGCTCTCTTGGACAAATTCACAGCAGCGCATTACGACAAAGTCAGTGATGCCAGATCTGAAACGCGCGGATCTTTGTATAAGGAATTGCATGATGACTCTGATGTCTAACTATTTTGTTCACTCCCTCTGTCAGTCAGTTGGCTGTAATATCGCACAGACTTCAGAAGCTGTTCTCCCATTCAGCTCACTGCATGCCGTTTGAATAAGATGCTCGAGAGAGTCGAGTGTGACAGCGCGCTCTGCAGAATGAAGCGCGTGGAGCTTCTGTCCGCCCGTGAGACTAGAGCGCGCTTCCCAGAGAAATCTTAAAGCGACAGCTTTGTTTCGCTTGTCCTTGTCCATAGTAATTTAGATTTAGGATTTCCCCCCCTGCTAAATAACAAACAATAACTTTATTTGTTGTTTTATAATGATTTATTTATATTAATGTATTTATTTATAGGCCTATATTGAAATTATGTAAGCCTATATATTTATAGCCTATGTATATTTTTTCAATTTAATATATCTATACCAGGTAGATAAAGGATACAAACCTTGTTTTTTTCTCCTGATCATTGGTGCCACAATCTTATCTCAGAACTTTTGATAAATGCCATTTTTTTTAACTTTTAATTGCATCTGAATATCAACATTTGTGAGATCTGAGTACACTGTAAAAAAAATAATAATCGTTTTTTCTTCTGTCAAATCAACTTAGATAATTTATGTGGTTCAGGTAACATCATATTTTGAGTTTCTGATTATTAAATCAATCTCTTTCATTGTTATTAACTCAATTTTTCAATTTCAATGAACTTAAAGTTAAGGCAACCAGGTTACTTCATTTTTTAAGTTAAACCAACAATATTTTTTTACAGTGCAAGTAAGCTAAGTATATGCTTTATTGTCAGTTCTGTACTCCATGTACGGAACATACAGATAACTGAAATTGCGTTGCTCTCAGACCCATGGTGCTTACAAATAACTTCAAATGACAACAGTAAAAGTCTAATCAGATATAAAAAATATAAAATACAACTATCCAAAAAAAAAGAAAGAAACAGCACAAGACACATAACAAGTGAACAAACAGTGCAGATAAAAGATGTTAGTGCTTAAAAATTTAGTCAGCCGAGACAGTTTGATTGAGGTTAATTGATCTCAATTTGTGTCTTAAGAAAATAGGACATTGTATTATGTTGAAATGGTGGATTTGTGGACACGTTGATGTTTTTAGATTTGTTGAGTCAAAGTTATCATTTTTATTTTTTAAGTACAAAGATAAAATTAGACCCTTGGGGTATTCTGCCTGCATGTCATAGAATAATTTTACCTTGTTGAATCTCTTTTCTGGGATTCTGATTTGTCGGTCATCGGTTCATCAATTATTCAGCTAAGTTTTTAAAATAGCATTGAAAATAGAATAGTTGATTTAGTGTTTTACATTAATGACACTTAAAAAAATATATATATATAAGAATTATATAAAAAGTAATTTATACATTCTGTAAAAGTTTATCTGGCCGGGGCTTCTTACCCCAGGGGCCATCTTACCCCTCTTTTAATAGTTGACATTTTGTGCTATAACAACTAAATGTTATTTATTAAAAACACATTGGCTGATGCATAATCATTCTGCACATGCAAAACTTTCATCTAAATCCACACTGTTCTTAAGGGAGTCATCTTCCTAGGCACTTTTGTTTCACCTCACATCCGCAGGGACTCACTTTAGTGTGTTCTGAAGCAAAATGGTCTTTGTTTTGACAATCTGGCGATCCTTTCAGTGATGCATGTTGATAAAGATATGCGGCTATATTTTAAAGCAACCCATTAAGTGTGGACATTTTCCAATGCAATCAGACCTCTCATTGATCGGCCTTCTTGAGATTTACTGGTGCTCTTCTCCAGGGCTTTCCTTAAGCCATGTGCTGTTTTTTTTACTGCATTGACTTTGTGTCTTTTGTGAAAGACCACCATTATTGAAGTGAGAAGCGAACATTTGTCTTTCTTTGAAGCCCAAAATGGGCTGAGAATCAGAGAACAGACAACAGTTGTGACCAACTGTGCAACAAATTGAAATTCTCCTCACCACGGTTGAGAAATTGCTCTGAGTAATAGCAAACAATGTCTGAGAAGTCCGAATGAAAACCTTCATCAAGATCTCAGTGCATCAATGACAAGTATTTTGAAAGCATGAATTTGCTGTCCACGCATGGCGGGTTCACGCTTCTGTGCTCACATCAGAAACAACGGACCTGTCAATGTTCTAAAAGCAAGGTTTCATCTGGTTCCCTAAATAAAAAAAAGTTAATTAATATAATAATTCCCTCAGATTGAGATGAGATGACATTTACTTTCAGCCTTTTCTCTGATACTCTCAGTGTCATCAACATGCACCTACATGTCAAAGGAGCATGTCAGCTATGATTGCCTTGCAGATGACTCACAATTATGCGTTTAGACATATTCAGACTATAGTGCTGCCACAAACAAATGATCATCCTGCTATACTGTAATCACAAAGCGGATGAGTCATAGTTTCTTTCTGCCACAGGAACAAAAAACCTCGACAGCACAAACAATGTGTCTTACTAAATGTTTATCCCCTCAAAGATTTTATTGACATATCAATGTATGCAAACTGCACAAGAACCGAATTCTATGCTTCCAGTGTGCCTCCATAAGCTGGAAGTTTTAAGTCAAAGTATATTTTCCTTTTAAAAACTGATATTAATCCATAGGCTGTCTCAAAGGAACACTCAACAAAGCAGGAAAGTATTTCTTCCAGGAAAAAGCTTGAGAAAAGCATTTAGATTCCCACACACACACAAAAAAGAAAAAAAAAAGAAAAGAAAAAGCAAAGCTCAAAGGTGACTCAAGTTATCGCCTGTCTCCTCCGGTGGCTTCCCGTTCTTTCAGCACAATGGCACATGAAAACATTGACTCATATGTGCTCTCTAACAAAAAAGGTAGTTGATGCTTGGAGAAGTTGATGCAAATACATTTGAGTACTTTGATCAGACCAAGCACCTCCTGATACAATTCCATGTAAACACACTGCGAAGAAATAACAACAGCATGATGCTAAAAATAACATAACTGCTGCGAACCACAGACATATATTTGTGTTCTTGATGACCTAAGCTGGCCTATAGCCCAGTTTGTGTTTCTGCTGTCCACAGTTCCTGTCAGTGGTGTGGCAGTGCCATATGGCCCTGGCTCAGAGTTTCTCCTGGACCCAGGAAAGGGGTGGGAGAGGTGGGGGACGAAGAAACAGACTGCGGGTCACTCCGGGGCAGGGTGAGCTTTTCATAACAAAGGGCCTGCTCCTGGGACGTGTGCTCAAGTAGATATTCGTACTGTGAGGACACAATAGCCTTGTGATGATTTCCTGTGGTCTGGCACGACTAAATAACAGCTCAGTGACAGAAGTGAGGGCGTTAATCTGATGATAAATGCATAAGTTTGGGATGAGGATAGTGATGAAGGCTGATTTGGGGAGGGGGCCTGGGGTCAGTTGGGATAAAGAGAGCAAAGCGTACACCTGCCTGGCAACATCAATAAAATTTCACAGTTTGACCTCTGATAGACACAACTGTGACCCATGGAATAATGGTACAGATGCTCTTGTTTATTAATTAATTTGAGGATGGAGTGGGTTTTCACAAGAGTACAAACTCTTGAGGTTTTCTGTGCAGAATTATGATAAAAATGGTCCAAGAAACTGTTAGTCACTGAAAGTTGGGAATAGTGACTAAAATGTATATTTTTACTGCCATCTACTGGAGATATCAATGCCATGGTTGGGAATCAAAATCAGTTGAATGATCAGACAAAAATGTCCAGAATGCAAAACATCCAAATGCACAAAATATGTTGCCAAATGCTTCCCTCTTCTGCAGTTCATTTAATTCAAGCACATTGTGAACAAGCACATCAATGTGTGTGTGTGTGCGTGCATGCCTTTGTTGTATTATTTTAATTAAGCTACTGGGTAATGTCAAAAAATATATCCTTCACACTATATCCTTTTGATGACACATAAAGTTATATTAAACAAAATATGAGTGTTGGATAAGGTATTAAAATGTCAAAATTATTTGGCAAGAAAGGCAAACTCCAGCATATAAATTAAACATGGGAAGTATTATGCAAAAAAATGAAATAAATAAATAAAACCAATAGCCTAAATTATTTCTTGACTACACAACCTCTCAATCCAGCCTCTTATAGTCAATGGCTTACAGTTCAAGATGCAAATGGAGATTGAAGGTCTTATCTAGATCTTTGGAAGCTATTTTGAGGCGTTCCCAACTTCCCACATTCAGGTGATTTTTATCCTCTGGTCAAAAGGCTCACTAGTCTTCCTTGACCAGCCACTGCACTTTACATTCTGCATGGCAGTGGTCTCATTGTGCTTTGAAATAATTTAGTAGACATTGTGACCATTTACATCCTGTATGACAAATCCAAAACTGATTGACCAGATTAAGCCATTTCACACAATTGGTTGCAGTGGACAGCTCCTTCCATCTAGGGATTTTCAATAAAATCCACAAAATTACAGCTAATATGGCTAATAGGTCTAACTGCCACACTGTGATTTGTTGAATTATATGATGAATAATGAGTGCAAGCTTTGGTATGACCACTTGATCAAAAATGAAGTCCACACAATGTGTTTTTTTCATTGTGTCATGACAACTGAAACAATTGAAACGCAAGTTCTCTTACGAGCGGTTCTGCGTTATATCTTACGCTAGGGGAAAACCACTTTTCCACAAGATACTGAAGCCAAAAATTATCCTTAATTTTGCATTAATGTAAAACGCGTTGCGGCAGCATGCAGACATAGGCAAGATGGCCCGCGTGCCTATTGGCTGTCCCGCGCCAACTGCAGCAGCCTATCGAGGGAGGCCCAGCCTGACGTCAGATCCAATGGGGGCACTTTGCGCCCACCACGTCACCTCCCGCCGAAGCGGGCGTGGCCTGGGCCTATATAGCTTGATGGGCTGACATAATCAGATTTTTATCTCTTCAGCGAAGCTCACGTATCACTGGATCTGGAGTGAAGAAGCCGCGCCGTCTTAGAAAAGTCTTCTGCGGGACGAGCTTCAAATACGTGCTACTTCAACACAATGGTCTTGGTCTCGACTCGGACTCGACCCTCTATGGTCTCGGTCTCGAGTGAGCTGGTCTCGACTACAACACTGCCTTCTGCGTACACCTGAGTCCTGGGCTATGCTGTGACAGGGCATTCACCCCCAGCAGTGC